AAATCCCATTTGAACCAGAATCGACATCTGAAATGTGCAAAATGGTCCAGCACATACGTCATCAATGCGGTTGTATTCTTGTTGATTTATTTTCATGAAATTGGAAATAGCGGTCTTCTGGGTTTACCATCATGTGCAAGAAACGTGTCGTCTCCATCTTCTTCACTGAAAATGGAGACGCCACGTTCCTTCGAAATGTTGGTAACCACGTATAACACCATAAGGCGTTACAAGTCAGAAGACTGTGGTCCACATTCTGACCACGGTGAAAATTTCAAATCGCATCTCCTGTAATTCCAATATCCCTTCGAGTAATTTATCTTGAATTCAAAAACGAAGCTCTGAAAACCGAGTGTGTTCATTACAACGCTATTAAATAATGCTGATTCAAGTACAGAGGTCATACGGTGTCAAATTAGAATCGGAATTGATCATGAACAGTGAACGAGGCAAACTGTGGCATTCGCCGGGAGAGACTGAGAAAGAATGCGAAAACCTGCCATAAAAGCCGGTAAAAGACCGGTATTCGAATCGGGTACTTCCGGATAGAAGTTTACCGCGACACCAAGTTGATCAGTGGACATTCCATTAGCACAAATGAGATGGACTTTGGACCGCACTGATCAAATACAATTTACATGCATCAGACATTTTATGTACGGTTTATTTAACGACGCTATCAGTAGCTCAGGCTGTACAGCGTTGTATGGTATGATCAATGAATAATCAATTAGAAAGAACGTGGAAGTAAATAGTTGGAACTTAATTTAAAGTACTATCACGGTAATTATCGGAACAGCCTGAAGAAAACCACACAAATTCAGGATACCCGGTCTCCAGCTAAGATTTGAACCCAGGACCTCCCGAGTAAGAAGCATAAGTTTATCTGAATCTAAATGTTATTAACTTATTTTTAAAAATGCTTATCATATTCAAATTTGTACGCGGAAAAAACGTATGAATAAAGTTTCTAACCGTTAGACCACCATGGCTATTTCTGAATAATTTATTTATTTATTTTTTTTAGTGTTCTGTCTGACGACAGGTCCATATGAACAGGATCCTTCCATCCTTTTCTCGGACTGGGACCTGTTCATATACGTTCTTGGCAGATGATCCAGAAGTGGTTTGCCATTGCCTTCTTCTGTGTGTGAATGGTGTAATTGTTGGGATGCCACGGAGAAACCGGGGAAGCCCCCGGAGGAAAACTCCGTGATGCCTAGACCACGGCCTTGCCCAACACAAAGGTTTTATATTCGGTTTATGATTGGAAACGAACATAGTCTGGAGTTTAAAATCAAATCTGAATTATCCTGCACTACGAAGAGCGCACATGCGTACAGCTGACGCTGTGCGCCACTGCATCACCGCATTGTCATTAAACATGACTGACAACATTCAACAATAATACGAATGCTGTCAACGGGGAGCGGGGGGCTAACAGAGAGAGAGAGAGAGAGAGAACAAAGGACACCTCACGCCTGTATCATTCTGAAGAAAAAACATTTTTAACCTAATTCAGGTGATGACTACCGTTGAAAAGCCTTAGAACTCCCAACAGTTATCTAATATATATTTTTTGGTCTTATATTCCCCTCTTCTTCTAGGTCTTCCAAGGGGCCACTTTCCATTAATATTTTATAAACACTGGTTACTCATCCCATCTGTTCGGTCGCCCCCACAAAATTATGTAATTAGTTTTTCGCGCCAACATTTGTGTTATGAAACAGTCATCAGGTTATCAAAAAATATTTTACTGAGAATGTATACTTTATACTGTTAATAAAGAAACATTGCAACAACTTTAAGCGGAAGAAAATAAATACATGTTCTTTTTTCGGAAAATGAGAGACAGAGAGAAACTTATGAACAGAGCCACCTTAAATATAATAATTATCTCTTGCCTCGGTTGCTATGGAAACGTTACTAAAAACAAGAACCTGTTCGCTTTGTTTACATGTTAGCTTATGAAAGTCACACAGATCTTTAAAAAAAATAACTCGTTTTCGGTTAAATGTAAACATAAACTTTTACGATATTGTATAGAAATGTAAGGGAAATTATTTGTCAATACGGAACGTTTCCAAACACGAAATTTTTTTTACGAGATATTTTATCTGTAAAATAAGTCATAATCCGCGGTGTCATGGCAAAATTATTTTCGTCACCTCAATGAAAAAACTAACTGAATTCAAATATCACTGCAGCAGCCATAACCTTACGATCGATTTAAAGAAATTCTCCGTGATACTTCATTACCAATGAACAGCTGAACTACACAATTCTTCCTCCTTCTCCAACAAATACGATACAGCCACAAAACAAAATGATAATTCTATGTTTCGACGTTTAATATTTGAGACAAGAAACTAGATAAATGCAGTAATTTGACTTGAATTGAAACAAACATGTCCTTACGTAGTTCATTAACCTCGTAAAAAACATTGAATTAGAATTACATTTATTCTTCACTCTGCTTATTTGCATGCACAGATAATATTATTAATCAACTGGGAAGGAAAGAAGGCGAGAGATTTCAGTCAGCGAACTTTTCTGCTGGTGTTAGCTAAACCGAACACCCACCAGCGTCTGATGTGGACTTACGAGTTTCTTGGCAGAGAGACGCGGCGACTGGTACGTCCTCACGCGGCGACGCTTCTAACCACACTGACCTACAGAACCACCTAGGTCACGTGAGGTCACGTCGAGAGAATCGATCCACTGATTCCTCCATTCGTGATCGTGTCCAATTTAACTCGGCATCGCATAAAACTTCAAGGATACTAGCTTCACACAAATGCACTGAATGGAACAGAATTTGGTGAAGGAAATTTTTTGAGCCCCATTCCTTGGCAAGTTATCACTTTCACTATTAAACTGCGGACGTTAAACTATTTCCCTCTTCTGAATGTGTTTACTCCCTTCCTTTTCCATGTATCTGTCTGTTCCTTTAAGGCTTTGACCGGGATGTTCTTTTGTTAAACTTATGTGGTACCGCCTGATTCGACTTCTAATGGTTAAGTGAAGTGTTTTCTTCGCGGTACGGTCTGGATTCATAAATAATATTCAGACGATCTTCGGCTTCAAAGGGTTAAATAAACTCTGCTCCTTATGCACAGTCTCATTACGAATGAGTTCTAATTGTCATTCATTCTCCGTGTACGCACAGATAAATCACTCTAAACTACTTCTATTGGTCAGCAGGTGATCGAATATAATTGTGACCCTGTGAATTTGTGAGCTTCAGCTAATATTGTTGGGGCGATGGGCAGGTCATACATTACACCATGGGTGGGGAACCTTTTCATGTTGGAAGCCCGCATTAATTTATCTGTAATCAAATAAGGCCGCATTCAAGAAACTTCAATTAGATATACTTAAAAATGTACATTATTTTGTAAAAATCTAACTACTATGTACTTACCAATTTAAAAAAAATAAAAACTATTTGTTAATTTTAAAGTTAACTACTCTTTTAATAAGTTGATATAATTGCGTCATATTGTGAATTAAAATTTAATTTTTTTTGTTTTTTTCCGTCTAATCACAATTGTATATAAATAAAATTATAATAATTACTCTTTTAATGTTTTTTGTTAGAAAGCATTTGAATGTCTGGTTGCAGCATGGAGGTCCGCAGTTTCAGTTGATCCTCTAGATGGGTATCCGTCATTTGTGATCTTAAGGGCGTCTTGAAAAATGTATTAATAAAAATAAAAGGATTTGTTCTGTAAAATTTGGATTCAGTCAAAAGGCAGCACTTAAGGACCTAGAAGGCCACATGTGGCCTTAAGGCCGCAGGTTCCCCACCCCTGCATTACACCTGAGACATTAAAGACGCAACAAAATTTTCGTCGGGAAAACTTAATAATATTAAAAGTGATAATAGAGAAATGTATATGAAATATTTTAGTCGGGTTACGACAGCGTCTAACGGTGGATTACTGCGACCGTGTCAATAAATCTTCGGTTTCGTAACACTTGATGCCGATTACTTTATAAGATTTGAGGTTTTCACAGCGGTGAGTCTGAAGTTTGCTGTCTTCTGGGTTGTTGCGCCGTGTAGTCTGGTCGATGTCCACCAACGTTTCAGAGGTCATAGTGCCTCCATCATCATGGTATGAAGATTTCCGTCTTCTGGGTTGTTGCGCTGTGTAGCTCCACCTCGGGATGTCATGGCACAGATAGACCAGCACGTAGCTTCAACGCGAACACATTTGACACTCAAGGAACAAACAATAAACCTCCCTCAATCGAATTTGGATCAGAACACATTCGATTTTAAGTTTGTCGTGGTTTACCTCAGCCTGAGATATTAGTTTAAAAGAAATTCACCGTACACAAACATGCTCGATCACACCGGATGTTGCTTTATACAAAACGTTCCTGATTCAAATTCGCTTGATTCCGATAAAAATTTCGAACACACAATCTCCTATACTGAAGTAGCTTATTCATAGTTTTTTTTCTGAACCTGCATTGAAATTCATTACTTTGTATTACTTACGATCGATTCTCCCACATAATTTACCAATTCACTAATAATTATCGCAGTCATTTGTCATTCAACGGTAAATTATCTAAGCTTTGAGCCCGCGCCGTAAAATAACGTATAAACATGTTTGTCTCATATAATTAAACGTCAAATATTCGAGCCTCCAACAAACCACGAAACCAAAGATTGCCTTAAATCAAACTGCCAACAGACATCTGCAGTTCTCAACAGTGTGACCACCACGCCATCAGTGCCCCACCTCACGACTTTGAGCAAGCTTGTCGTTGGTATAAAAGCGTGCGGGAATTTAGAAAATATGTTTTCACAGTAATCACCCATAGCACAACGTCAATATAAAATTTCATGATAATTATTATACAAATTATACATACTAGAGAAACATCCGTAAACTATGATGGCGGCCGTCCCAAGTAGGGCTCAAAGAGACATATTTTTATTTAAAAAAACCGGAAAAGTGAATATGAAAATTACAGAAATCACTTACCCCTGAATAATTTCAATGAAGCACGCACACAGTAGTCCCAGGTTCAGTGTACAGTCTTTTTTTCCTCTGTTTCCACGAATACACTTATAAACACAATCGGTTTCACAGAGTCTGACGTCGCCTCCCGATCCCCAAATTTCTTCTCCATTCTTCTTTCGTCTGTAAGCCCTAATGCCTTCAACCCATGTTCTTGGCGGCCTTCCACGTTTCTTCTTTTCTTTTCTTGAAGTGACCGTTCCATCGCTGCTCTCGGTAGCCTTTCATCTTTCATTCGTTTTACATGGCCATACCAAATCAGTTGTTTCTTTTCCATATTACCCATTAAAGCCGTCACAGTGGCGTGTTCTGAGGCGTGGGCCTTGTGCCGCTGGGACCGTGGGTTCGAATCCCACTCAAGGCATGGATGTTTGTCTGTGTCTCCCTGTGTTGTGGTGTCCTGTGTACAGATGCCATGCGTCAGGATGATCACTCATCCAAGGAGTCCTACCAACTGTCTAATAGATCAAAGCCAACGAAAGTTGAGACCCGTAGATGCTCAAGGCACTGAAGAACAGGTCGCCTAAGTATTAATATTATCCATCAATGTGTCATAGACATTCATTATTTCTCTTAGTCTCTGGTTGGTTATTTGGTCTCTTCTGGAGATTCTAGCCGATCTCTTTAATACGTCCATTTACACTGCTTGTATTTTTCTCTTTTCGGTTTCATTGATTCTCCACACATCTGATCATTATGTCACTATGCTCTTCACGATGGCGTTGTAAATATTTGTGTTTCTCGTTTTTGTAATTTCCTTGCTCCACCAAATTCCATTTAATCTTCTCTACCATACGACATTCGTTGTTTTATTTCATGTGTATCTTTCCCATCTTCATGTATTTTTATTCCCAGGTAATTGTATTCTTCGCCCGGTAATATTATTTAATCTTCTGTGCATAGAGATACTTGCTTTTGTCAATGCTAATGTTAATGTTAAGCCCAAATTCTATGTATTCGTCTTTCAATTTCTGTGCCATGTATTCTAGGTCTTCTTTATCCTGTGCTGTTAACACCTGGTCATCGGCAAATTGTAGCGTACATAAGTTTTTGTTGTTCATTTCTATTCCCATACCTCGACATTTCCTCTTCCATTTTCTTAAAGCTTGTTCTATGTCGATTTTTAAATAACGTAGGAGACTCATTACAATCTTTCCTCAAAACCTTGTTGCATTGAAATCCTTCTGATAGTTATTCTCCTATTCGCACTTTTAATATTGATTTGTTATATAAATTGTTTTAATTGCTTTGACGACGGTATGATTAATGCCAGATTCTTGTAGTACTGGCCACAGTTTTGCGGTAGGTACGTTATCACATGCTTTCGCTAAATCGATTAAAAGCAGATGAAGTTCTCTTGCTGTAGCTATTTTATTCTCAACTACCTTTTTAAGCCGGAATATATTACCTGGTATGGTTGACCGCCCAGCTCTGAACCCACTCTCTTCTTCTGTTTCGTTCCTGTTGTATTCTTCTTTCGCTATGTCACTTATTATTCTCACGTAGAGCCTACTAACTTTTTGATGTTGCTGTTATTCCTCTATAGTTCTCGCATTACTACCAAATACACTTATACAATTAAAAATCACATAACGCTGTATCAGTATTCATTTCTCTTGATTAAATAGTTCATACGATTAATTGTTAAGCAATGCCTAATACAGTCTTATATCGGAGTCAAAATAACTGGGCTGTGAGACAGTATAATGTGATTAAGCATAATTCTAATGACGACGGTTATATAACACAGATCAGCAAACTCGTTAATAGCAAACGATCACTGTACTCTGGCGAAATATAGAACACAGATACTAAATTGCATAAGCCAGATGTCACGGCCGAAGTTTGGTTAAGGTAAATCACGTTACCTTGTAAGTAAACGTAATGCTTTTAGTTTCGTAAATTTTGCTATCACACAATAGAGCATTGTGCATATCACGTAAAATGTATTTATTCTTTACTGTTAATGCAGGCATTAAAACGACTTCTTCGTCTCTTAGGTGGTTGCAACTTGACGTACTCAGATCACTAATGCGAAACACATGTATTAAAATTACACTGTTACGACAGTTTTCTGAGCACTTAACACATCCATCCGTAATTGCCGATCTTTTCAATGGCCACTGATTTTTCCAAGCCACACTGAATTAACAACACTAAACACAAACTGTAAATACTGCTAACATAAACCACTTACATCCAGCAAACTCAAGAAACCAACATCACATTGTGCCAAACTACATACAAACTAAATCCTGGGTCACATGACCGGAAGCAACTTCGCTCAGACAAGGTCACCAAATTAACTAATAGAACTTACCACAAGCACTAAACCTACCTTACCGAATCGCAATATGGTGTTCAAATGTTTACAGAAATTTTACTCAGAGCAAAGGATTTATGAGTCCCACTATACGAATCGAACTTGTGTTCGCTGTCGTTCGTCTCGTAATATTCCAACATTCAGAAAAGACTCAAAACTTAAAAATCTTAATCCCTTTAATGTCTCAAAATTTTAAGAGTTTGTAAATTTAGAAGTCTAAAAATATATTAAACCTTGAAAACTTTATAAATTATGAAAATTCTAAATTTTGACATTTTTCAAGTTCTTAAATTTGCAGTCTCCAATCTTTGAATATTTTGACAATTACGTATATTCTGAATAAATTGAAATGTTTTAAATTCGTAACATTTTTGATAATGTAAAAAAAATAAAAAATATTCAAAATTTAGAAACGGTTTTAAAAATTGAAATGTTTTATGGGGTTGTTACGTTCCAGTTCCCATCAGCTAGTGCGCAACAAAGGAACAGACTGGTTACCCAGCAGTCCTGAGGATAAGAACAGAGATTGTTCTCAAACGTTGGCACAAGATATGGTTTGTTCAACTTTTAGCCACCTGACATGGCTTGTAGCCCGAGTGTCTTTCATCAACTTCAGTTGCCGCAAAAGCTTCGCTTTATACAAACAAAGCTTAATTCCATAAATTTGCATGCATGATGTATGATAAAACTACCTTTGTCAAACAGCAAGTGTGGCGAGCATTTGTTATAATGGCAAATTTTTTTAACGTCGTGAACTCTCTTAATAACATACTTACTTTTCCTATTGTAGTGTCCACAAAGTCCCTTCGGGGTTTTGAAAAATTGTGGCGAGCAAACAAATTGAGCTAGCCACATGCGGTTTACGGCAGATTACAGTGAAACTCTGGAAGTTTTTTACTGACCTCAGTAGACCTCGATGTTGGCTCCCTTGGTAGCACGGAGAACGTCCAGACGATATTCGAGCTCTTGCCATGTTCTGTGGAGCATGTCCACTGGAATAGTCGAGATCGCATTCCTGATACGGGTCTTCAGGTCATCAAGTCCGTTAACTGGTGTTCGGAACACATTGCTCTTAACATAACCCCACGGGAAAAAATCCAGTGGTGTTATGTCTGGTGAACGTTGAGGCCGTCTCTGCCGATCCATCTTCCTGGAAATGTCTCTTTTTTCAAGAGCAGACGATCAACATGAACACCTACCTGGACATGCTGGAACTATACGCAGTACCACAAATTGAGCACTTACAGCCACACTTCATTCTTCAACCAAGATGGTGCTCCACCTGCAGGTACGCGCGTACCTAGACAGGATATTTCCAGGAAGATGGATCGGCAAAAAATGCTTAGTAGTTTAAAAAAAAACATTTTTTTCTAGATACATTAATTTAATTTTCTGACATTGGGTTGAAACCTGCTGATGTTTTTGGTTATTTTGCAGGATCTATTTCTGGAGCAGAAGAATGGAAAATTGTACTCTAAATCACATTACGATTTTGCATATCTCGTCAATCCCGTGGTTATTTATTGCAGGTGAAATTTATCATTATGTAACGTTCTTTGTTCCCGCTAAATTTACTCTCCCTTAGGCTTGCGTAGTTTCCTTAACACTAAGAGACAAAGAACTGACTATTGTCCTCGAACATTACAGAGTCAATATTAAAACAGACAACCACTTCATTCCACCATTCACGTTCACCCGACCACTCGACGCTACAAAAATTTGCAGTTGACACGGTGCCTTAAACCAAGACTGAAACAAACACTAATACACACCAAGAATGGGTAAAAAATATTTGCACTCCTTTCATTTTTAATAGGTGTATTTTTGATTCCTTAAAATGCTAATTATCAATCTCTTGTATATAATAACAATGAGAGCAATTTGTGTTATCACTACTGGCAAGACTGTTAGAATGAGATTCTAATAACCAGCCATAAACACATGTAACACATCCACTTAAACTGAATAATACAAAAATCTGTTGCTGATAATGTTTTGAAAAACTGACACACAGAGCCAAAAATGCTAACCTCTGCCCTCCAGAACAACAGACTCACTAATTCATTCACACATTAAAAATGGCTAGCAAGTTCCAATACTAAAACCATTTAAAACTCGGATAAACCTGACATCCTGACACAATCAGAACCTCTAGTGACAGGAGATGAAGTTGGTGTCTATGTAGGCTGCTGAGGAGACGGCTGCGTCCCCATCGGCGGTCCGGGAGAGGGAGAGCCGGCTGCCGAGGGATGAAGAGGGGGAACGGCGGTGGCGCCCGAATGAGGCGGCCCTGATCCAGGCACAGCTTGTGGGGATGGTGGAGTGGGTGTGGTGCTTGGTGTGGCAGGGCCACCAGACTGCTGTTCACTGCCTGAGGACACTGCACTGCCAGCCACTGCAGAACCTGAGGTTACTACACTGCCAACCTGCTGGGAGGATGCAGACTGCCATGATCCCTGCTCTGCAGCAAGCCTCTGGTGAGCCTGCTGGCGCGCCCGGAACTCGGCGGCCTTCAACTGCTCCAAGTGAAACTGCTGGCGCTCGGTGATTAGCTGCTGTCGCTGATATTCCAATCCTTCTCGCTCTCGTTCCATCGTCGTTTCCAGCTCCTCAAAGTGACGAAGCTTGATTTCAAGTTTCTTCATCTGTGTCTCCACCAGAAGAGCGACCAAGGACTTGATCTT